CCTGCTACACCCATACAGGAAGACACACCCGGTGCGGCCATGCCTTCTGATTCCAAAGAAACCAGAATAATGCTTCGGATTATTTTAAAATAATGTGATGGGGTCGGTCCCCTAGCAACACACATCGGCAGTGGGTTGGCGGGGGGTGAGGCCGATTACACACATCCACCCCCTGCTGTGGGCCTGGAATCCAGCTGTGCCAAGGGCTGGTTCACAGTTCTCTGAGTGATGACCAGGCCCAAGTGCTTGGAGACCCAAGAAACAGGCAGACAGACTCGGAGCTGCAGGCTGTAATGTACTGGGGACTTACTGACCTATATGTGGTCCTGCGTGCAGAAGGCTGGGTTGAGACGAAAGCGACCTCACCCAAGCCGGGATGCATCCAATTTATCTTAAGCAAATATCAAAGAGTCAGACACATACCTAGCATTAGTGGATGGTTATAAAGTTTCCTGTATCGGTCTGATCTATTTATTTGCTGGAAAACTATCCAGGGCAAAGCAACCTGGGAAGAAGCCGAATCACGCCTTTCTGTGAGCCAGGGTCTGCCATGGGGGACAGGAAGACTCCACAAGGAGCCAAACACACCTTCCCTTGCCTGGACTGGGAAACCAGCAGAGCCCCCTCCCTCCTCACCCCCTGCAAGCAGCTGGCTCACTAGGACTCAGGGTGACGTGGTAGTGACTGAGGTGAAGGGAGCTTGTGTGGTCTGAAGGCCACGGGCCGGAGGTCTGGGCGTCTATTTGGAGGGTGGAAGGGGGCACTGTGGCAACTGTCAGGGATTTCCTTCTGTTTCACTTTTGAAATCAAATGTTTTGATCTCTTTTATTGTTTTGTTTTATCCCTGTGTCTGGTAACCTGAGCAACCATTCTGAAGATAATAGTATGCAACATAACAACCACTGTTAAATTCCTGCCATCTTATTTTGAAAACGTACATAGCTATTGTTGTTTTTTAGGTGTATTTGCTTCTTGATTTTTGTGGGTTTTTTTCTCTTTAGAATTTAAAGAATTATTCTGGAGACAGTCACACCAAGCTGAGCTATGCAGTGTGGGTTAGCCGTCTGGGGCTTGCAGAGTAGATCTAGAGCTGGGGGGCCCAGCTAAACTGCTCAGCGGAATTCAGGAAGGGTGATAGAGGTTTAGGGGGAGGCCTGAGAGAGAGAGGTGAAGGCCAGGCTGACCTGAGGGTAAGGTGGGCTCCCCATCACATTAGGAGTGGACAAATAACCCTCGTGACTCAGGAGCACACATCAGGATTCTGCTACACAGCTCATGTAACTGACTCTCCCTGGTCATCTTCCTGGTTTAGCACTAGAAAGTCCAGCTACCAGGAAGCCCCCTACTAACTCACATCTGCAGTACGTTAGAGGGTAAGGCTGGCCAGACACTGGATCAGAGCTCTGGTGACCGTCTGGTGGCTGGGAGAGTCATCACTGAGTTACACAGTAACTGACCTGAGCATCCCGGCCAAGAGGAGATTGTGGTCTCCAATTCTTACGAGATCCCTGTATCAGACTGAGACCGCCACGTCCTCCTTTGTCATGTGATGACAGTGTCTCCCACCAGGCAGAGGATATCTCCTTGACTCAGTGATGCTGGGTTTGGGCCTGTGACTCAACTCGACCAGTGGAAGGTGGAGGGGACCATGCAGCCCTTTGAGTAGAAGCTTCCAGAGGAATCCTGTGTTTCCCTAACCTTGGCTTCCATCATTAGTCGTGACACAGAGCACAAACCTGAAACAACCTGCACCCTTCGGGATTCGGTCAGCAAACCCTGTTCAAGACACAGTAAGGATGTGAGGAACAGAGTGTCTTTGTCAAGACAGAGAATATCTCTGTGAGATGCAGAGAATAACTTCACCGGAACGAAGCCCTGAACTGACTGAACTCCCAGACTCATTGAGGACCAAAAAAAGGGAAACGGTCTTGCTGAGGGCAGATGTTTCTTTAGGTAGTAAATGCAGGCAGTCAAGGTATGGGGACAGTGTGGCTGAGTCATTAACTTTGACCTGACTGTATTTTTTTTTTTGCCTTTTTGAGACAGTTTCACTATGCAGTTCAGCCTGGCCTTGAGCTCACTTTGTAGCCCAGGCTGTCCTTGAACTTATATAAGTATCCTCCTGACTCAGCCTCCCAAATACTGGGATAAGAGGCGTGTACCACCACGCCTGGCTATGGAATTTTTTTGTTTTCTGTCATAAGATCTATCTCTGCTCCAACTGGCAACATATCCCATCTTTAGACTTTCTGGCTCTTCAGGGTCAGCTGTTTACCTCCCAAGTCAACTCAAACAAACATTGACCTGTTGGATGTCTCGGGGAATCCCATGGCAGCCTGAAGCAGAGCCCGCTCTGAGCTGCAGACCTCTGAGTGAGGAAGGCGTACGTTGGTGGCTCTAGATCACTCACGTTCTGAGACACGTGTTATGTGCCCCATGCTGACAAATGCATACTTTTGCCTTGAGCTTTTCTCAGTCGTTTTGGCTGGATGTTCATCCCGTGGTGGCTGGGATCATGGGTCTAGTGCATACAGTAAGCGCCAAATAAGAGATGAAGTGTAATTCTTTTGGGGTACACACATCTCAAGGGCAAACGCACCTCACCCCCATGCCCCATACCAGGGTCTGGGACTTCAGAGGACACACCTTACCTTATCTTCTCACCCCGGAGCAGACCGAAGCATGTCTGCCTCAGAGCCAGAGGGGATGGCCGAGGTGACCGCTCATCTGTCATGCAGCCCTTGCTGCTGTGGCCTCTCCAGACAGGGCCATATCTGTGTGCTGAGAAATCTGAAAGATTGCAGCCATGTGAAGCCAACCGCCCGCCTCCTCGCCCAGGAGAGCCAAGCGCCCAGGGGCTGGGCCGCTTTCCCTGGCCGAGTCTGCTCCGGCCTCATCTGGGGTCGGGCTCCTGCCCAAGCTACCTGCCAGCTCTGCGGTGCTGGAGGAGAAGGGCTCCAGGCAGCACACCCCCGTCCTCCGCCTTCCCAGGACTGGGCGCAGGCGGCCCTGTGGCTCCTGACCAGCTACCTTGGCACTTCTAGTGGAAAATGTGACGATGCGGCCAGACCTCAACCTCCCTAACTCCCAGCATCCTGCTGAGGGCCAGCAGGGTTTGGAGGACAAGGAGACTGGAGGTGGGTGCCACCTGTTACCCAGACAGCCTGAGTGCTGGCCCTCCTGTCACCTCACTGTGCCTGGAGAGCCTCGGAAGCTCTGATTCCTCCTATGAGACCGGGGGACACAGTCACAGCTGCTTTGCCTGTGTCCCAGACCAGAAAGATGGTGGAGCCACACTTCCCCCTTCTCCTGCTAGGATTCGTACCAGAAAGCAAACACGACAAGCCCCATGTTTGGGGAAACAAGCAGAGATGGGATCCATGACCAGAGCTCAGCGGGGCAAAAGCCGAGCAGCAGGTCTGAGTAGGCTCCATGGGGACAAATCCCAGGAAGCATCGCATGCACAGGTTGCTGGGGCGGTGGCTGGGCCTGAGAGGACCGCTGCTGTCCCTGATGAAGGTGAATGGGACTCCAGGGAGGAGAGGCAGCAGCCCCAGGTCCCCTGGAGTGACCTGAGCCAGAGGACAGGAATGGTGACGACTATGGAGTGACCAAGTGACAGGCATGGAGGGGAGGATCTCCCGCCAGGGTCCCCAGGAAGCTGCCTTTCCCTGCTGCTGGGCAAGCAACAAACCACCGACCCAGGAAAACCAGCCCTTCCAGTCACAAGTGTGAAAAAATAAATGTAAAATCCCGAACACAGCAGCAGTATAATGAAGTATGCAGTGAAGGGGGAAAATCCACTTATAGTGAAAAACCTTAGTGCAAAGCAGATGAAAACTATAAACCATTCTGGCATGAAATATTTTTTACTTCTGCTTTACTTATTTATTTTTGTGACCCTTGGGATTGAAGGCAGGGCCTGTGCATTGAGCCCTTTAATTTTTTTATTTTGAGACATCACCTCACTAGGTTGCTAACGTTACCAGGCTGGGCTGGAATTTGTAATTCTCTGCCTCAGACGCCCAGACTCCAGGATTACAGGTGTGAGCCGCCACTCCCAGCTATGAATTCTCTCTTAAAAGGCAGATGACAACTGCCTCTACGAAGGAAAGCAGTACAACAGGAGTTAGGGAACTGGGGAAGAATTAGGGAGCCAAAGCAGGCAGCGATTGAGGTGGCTGCATGCAGGAAAGAAGTGGAAGCCGGGAAATCACAGCAGCTAAAACAATTGGGAATAACACGAAGGAAATAAAGCCTGCAGAAAATACAGTGGGCCGGGCGTGGTGGCTCACGCCTGTAATCCCAGCACTCAGGAGGCTGAGGCAGGAGGATCGCTGCGAGTTCGAGGCCAGCCTGGGCTACATAGTGAGACTGGTCTCAAAGAAAGAAAGGAAGAATAAGAACAAGTAGAAAGAACATGATAAAGGCAAAGATTAATCAACATATAGGTAATTGGAGTCCTCAGAAACAGAAATAGAGACCCACAGAAATGAACAAATATTTAAATATACGGTGACATTGACTGAATCACGTCATTTCCTGTCTCCTAAATTCATATGTTGATACCTTAACCCCATTGTGATGCATTTCAAAATAGATATTTTAGGACATAAAACTAAATAAGACCTTAAGAGTGGGATTTTAATCCAGTAGGATTGTTGGCTTTGTAGGAAAGAAATTTTTTTCTGACTGTCTCACAATGCAAGACCTGATTTCACAATGCATGAGAAGACTGCCCGAGGACCAGGGTTTCTAGCGCAGCGGCACAGGCCTGCCTAGCAAGAGCAAGGTCTTAAGTCCAATTCCCAGCACCAGAAAAAAACAAAAAACAACAATAAAAAAAACTACCCTAGGGCTGAGGGTGTGGCTCTGTGCCAGAGGCTTGCCCAGCACGTGAAGCCCGTGAAGCCCGAGGTTTCATCCTGGGTACTGCAGAAAGGACTCAACTAAAACAACGTGGCTGAGAAAGATTAAACACAAGAGGGATGGAGACCCGAGTCTTTCAGGCAAATGTAAATAAACTGAAAACAGGTTACAGTTTCCCATCGGTTGGAATTAGAGTAAAAAACATCACACAAGACAGCAGAGTTCACGGTGACAAGGGTCCCGCTGTGAAGGGGGACACAGAGGTGTCCTGCTCCAGACAGCCTGCAGCCAGCACGGTGGGGTCAGCTCACTTCTCTCACCCCTGGACAGAAGCAAAGGACAAATAATAATAATAATAATATTAATAATAACAGAACAGCATAACGAATAGTTACTAGACATCAATAAGCTGTAAAGAACACATCAGGAGTTTTTCACTTTGTTTATCTATTTGAACTACCGAGAATTGAACCCAGAGCCTGGCACGTGCTAGGCACGCACTCTACCATCAGCCACACCCTTAGACTTGCCCCAATCATTTTTAAAAATTGAAAGTGCAAATAATTGTCTCAGATCACAATACATTCTAGTAAAACTTTTTAAAAGATAATGTAAAAGGGCCCATTCACCTAGAAATTTTTAAGAATTTTATCTCAATTCCTTAAAGAGAAAATAAACAATATTAAAGAAGTATTAAAGCAAAATGATGATAGCAATTCTATTCACCAAGACCTTAGGGTTTTAACCAAAGTGATGAATATCTATATTAGCCTATATTATAACTAAAAGAAGGAGGAGGAGGAAAAGGAAGAGGAGGAGGAGAAGAAAATTATTAAAATTATTAAAAACTATTTTAAAATGTTTATCGAGGAGCTGGGGATTTAGCTCAGTGGCATAAGCACCTGCCTTGCAAGCAGGTGGTCATGAGTTCGATCCCCGGAACCAATAAAAAAGAAAAAGACAAAAAAAAAAAAAAAAAAAAGAAATGTTTGAAAAATAAAAATAAAAATGTTTATTGAAAGGTATGACCGAGGAAAACAAACTGAAAAAAGTCAATAGTAACTCACAGGATAAAACAGAAATCAATCTGTTATAGAAAAAATAATACTTTAAATAAATCTTCTGGTTCCTTTGATGATGGCAGGGGTGGGTATACACACTAGAGAACACGGTCCATAAAAAACAAGAAAGTACTGGGACAGGAAACAAGAGGTATTAAAAGGGGGGGGCAGCCCCACAGAAAGAGTCATCAAGGTACACGGGGTGCATCTGTGTAACCAGGTATCCTGGTCACTTGGCTCACTGCCGAGACCCAACACCTGACACCCACAAGTGAAAGCAGGACAGGGTGAGTTTAGTTCACGGTCTGTGGAGGTTTCCTCCCATAACCCGTCAGCTGGCTCCGAGGCGAGGTGGCCTGGCAGAGGGCGGCACCCAGGAGAAACAGCTCAGGGCAGGCAGGAAGTGGCATGCAGCTGCGGGAAGCCTCCCTTTCCCTCTTATCCCATCCAGGCCACAAGACTGTGGTGGTGCCGCCCACACTCGGGGAGGGGCTTCCTGTTATCCACACGCAGAGCTATGATGAACATTAGTGGACTAACCCAGCATCACACACCCTAGAACCAGCCATCTCCGAAAAGCCTCACCTATGAGCACATGAGGCTTTGGGGGCACATCTAGATACAAGGTACAGCGTAATTAAAACTGAAATGTGAGGCTGAGGCAGGGGAATCACCATGTGTTCGAGACCAGCCTGGGCTGCATAGTGAGTTCAGTGTGAACTACAAAGCATTTATTTGTCTCAACAAATAAATAAGTAAAATTTAACAATTTGAAGATGTACATGAAAAGGATAATTTTACAGGAAAATGTGATTTACCATAATTTATTTCAGATTAATTTCCTTTAGAATTGCTTCTTAAACTTTGCAAATCATCTGTAGATCTTATTAAACATTCACATTCTGGCTCTGAGATTTAGATCAGGATCTTGAACTTTTAAAAAGCCCCTAAATGATGAAGATGCTGGTGTTCTCTGAATGTCACTTTGAATGGTCTTTTTTTTTTTTTTTTTTTTTTTTTTTTTTGTCTTTTTGAGCCAGGGTCTCACTCCGCAGCTCAGGCTGGCCTTGAGCTCACTTTGTAGCCCAGGCTGGTCTTGACCTTACAAGGATCTTCCTGTCTCAGCCTCCTGAGTACTAGGATTACAGGCATGAGCCACCACGCCCGATACTTTGAATGTTAAGGTCATAGCAGAAATAAAGATTATCAAAAATCAACCCACCAACAACAGAAATAACAAGATTTTAAAAACTAATCTGTCAGGGCCAGGGATTTAGCTCAGTGGCATAAGGGCCTGCCTGGCAAGCATGAGGTCATGAGTTTGATCCCTGGTACTCAAAAACAAAAAACCTAACCTATCTTCATAGGAAAATATTCTGAAACCTTTAAAAAGTAGCTAGGATATTTCAAAATATCGGCAAAGGGAAATTTTGAAATTAAAAACTATTTTTTAGAACGTTATTTTGCCTCATAATTTGTGTTTTATTTTGTTTTGTTTGTTAGGTCTCACTGTGTACCTGGCCTTGAACTCACTGTGTAGCTATGCTGACCTCTAATTCACAGCGATTCTCCTGCCTCAGCCTCCCAAGTGCTGGAGTGAGGAGGGTAAACCGCTCCACCCTCTAGATCCTACTTTTAGCCATCAGGCTAGGTCTCAGAGGCAGTACAGCTTCCGTCTGAACTTTTCTCTCAGCGGGATGCCCAGAAGTCAGTCACCGCACTGCAGGGAAGCCCCGGAGGCCTAGAGATGAGTCCAGGTCACCGAAGCTTAACCTCTCCTGAGCGCCTAACCCACAGCCAGGCTGGAAACAGATCCTGTGGCCTGCCGGAGCTCTGTCCTCAGCATCACCAACAATGTTCCGCTCACCTTTTCTTTTCTTTTAGTGTAGGCTATTTTGGGACTCACTATGTTAGCCCAGGCTGGTCTCAAATTCACAGTTCTCCTGCCTCAGCCTTCCAAGTACTGCAATTACAAGCATACAGCCTGCTCTCTAGGGTTTTTGTTTTGTTTTCCTTTTTGTCTTTTTTTTTTTTTGTCTTTTTCCTTTTTATGGGTACCAGGGATCGAACTCACGACTGCCTGCTTACAAGGCAGGCGCTTTGTGCCGCTGAGCTAAATCCCCAGCCCCTCCTATTCGTCTTTTTGAGACAGGGTTTCATTATGCAGTTCAGGGTGGTCTTGAACTCACTTTGTAGCCCAGGCCGGCCCTGAACTTGCAGCAATCCTCCTGCTTCAGCCTCCTGAGTTCTGGGACAACAGGTGATTTTTTGGAAACAGCTAACCTAATGGATGTGAAGTGAAATTCTTAAGAAATTTGAACAAGGCGCCTTAAACTTTCGCTTTGCACCGAGACACAAAAATTACATAGCTGAAAAAAAAAAATTACATAGCTGGCCCTGACACCATTATATCTCCATTTTCCAGGTATGTAAACTGAGGCTCAGAATTCAGTGGCCCAAGATCACACATCAGGCAAGGAGTGTAGTGGGGAATTCTGAACCTAAATTCTTAGCATCTGTGCACCAGGGCCTGGACAGCTCTTCGGCTGTGGGTGGCACCTTACAGTGCAGAGTTCTGCCTTCTACACCAAGCAGATTGTTGCCTTGTAGGACCGAATAGAAAGCCTCGGTTTATGCGAGCCAGGAAACCAACACTTGACTAATTTCAGAGAGAAAGGGAGGTGGGGTTGGAAAGAACAGTTGGTCACCAGGACTTGGGAAGGCCGAGAACAGGGCAGCTCTTGGGTATGCAGAGCAGGAAAGAAAGGGCCAGGTCTCAGGGCTCCGACTGTTCGCTCCCCTAAATTTCTGAGTTTCTCAAGAGAGTCTGCTTGGCTGAGCATTGTGTCAGCCCCCTGCTCTGGACGGACGGCCAACAAAGAAGGCTGATTCTGGGAGGAACCGTAGGAATTGGGGCGGGGTGGCCATGTGCCCACTTTACAGATAAGGACAGCAAAGTCCACGGTGCTCAGGACAGTGGGTCTGGGCTCCAAGCAGAGGCCCAGGCTGCCTGTCTCCTCCCAGACTGCATGCTGGCAGGGGACAGAGGGCTGTGCTCTCTAACCAGGACAAATGGTGACTCCTGGAGGCCTCCCAGGCCTGGGGCTGGAAGCTGCCTGGCCGAGCTGCATGCAGGCGTCCAGCTCTCCTCCCCTCTCCACATAGCCAGCAGACCAAGCTTCAAATCCGCCCTCACCCCGAAACTCCAGCCTTCTGTTTTGTAAGAGAAACTTCTTAGGGTGTGGGGAGCTTGGTATTTTTCCGACGTGCATTTTTCCAACATATAAAATACAATGTGGACCAAACAAATACGAGCGGGCCTGGAGACAGCCCAAGTGCGGCTGGTTCGCTAAGCCCTGGAATGTTCCTCTCTGCACACAAAAATGAATTCCCTGTTTACATGGATGTGCTGCTGTGCTGAGCCACGGTTCCCCGCCTCTGAATTCGGATCTGTAGTGCAAACTGAGCCTGTCTGTGTGGCTGTTAGCAGAAGAAATATTAGGGTGGAGGCTGGGCTCAGATCTCAGCTCTGCAACCAGCTGTGCAGCCTCAGGCAAGTCACCTGACTGCTCTGGGCCTCAGTTTCCCTGGGAGAGGGGCATAGGTAGACAAGTGTCTGGCTTGTAGTAAATACCACATAGGCACTGATGTTGTCCTCCACTCCCCGTCAGGCCTGGGCCACCAGCCGCCACATGGGAAGGAACACAAGATTTTAGGCTGGGCTGATAGTGTAACTGTCTATCCCGAAGACAGGCTTCCCTGGGTGGCTCAGAGGTCCAGGTGACTGTCCGATTTCCTTCTGTCCTTTGCTGCTCCCCCAGGTGGCATCAGCTTGGATCCTCTCTTGGCCACCAGAACTGAGCCCCAAGGAGAAGGTCCAAGCTAGGAAGAGCCGTTTACTGAGTGCCCCTCTACCCTGGTGCTGTGGGCTCGTAGGAACCTTGGAACTTGGAAGCCATCCTGGGGAGGGGGGACAAATCTCTACCCCCTGGACTGGTGCTGTGGAGCCTGCGGCCGTGGGGGCAGCGGGAGGCTCCCAGTGTCTGCCTCCAAGGCCTGAGTTTTCTCTGCTCCTCTTAACTGTGTCCGACTCGTGACACAGATACAAGATTAAGGTGCTTCTGTACTCCAGGTATTTTGACCCTAAAGGGTCAAAAAACTTAATGACCAAAAGAAAAATGATTTATCTGCTCAAACAGGGAAAATTTGGGGACAGGATTCCTGCTTCGGGGACTTGGGGGAGCAGGAGAAATAGCTTCAGGGACAGCAGGATCCAGGGGCTCCCCGGATGTTGTCAGTGCTCTCAGCAGTGCTGTGCTGTGGGCTGCTTCCCCTTCAGTCTCTCCCTGTGCCGTCTCAGGTGGCTGTGCCACCAGCCCAAAAACACAAGTCTCTTTGTGAAAGTCTTAGACTGGCTCAGGATTAACTTGTTTAGGTTGGATTCAAAATCCCTCACCAATTTCTGCAGCCACACAAGATACTTCGATTGACCAGGGCCTGGCCTGCCTACGCCAGGGTTTTTATAGTTTCTTCTCTTCCCCTAGGAACTCTGGAAAGCCACGATGAGAAGAAGCAGCTTTCACTAGTCTGCTGCAGAGGAAAACCACATGTAAGGGAGTCCTGGCCCTGGCAGAGGCCATGCCAGACCAGTCAGCCAGCTGACTGCCAAGAGCTGCCTCTCCAACCCACAGCTGCCCACAGCTACATGAAACCTGCTGGGACCAACACTACCTGGCAGCTCCATTGACTTAAGAGCAGTAATAAGCCCTTATTTGTTTGAAACTGTGGAGTTTGGGGACATTTGTTATGCAGCAACAGCTGACAGATACAGGATCAGGCCATAGAGCCAAGTGGACCAGGTGGACGAGGTGGGGAAGGGAGGCTTTGTAAACAAAGAAATAGTTTATATTCCAAGAGAGGAGAAGGAATCTCCAGGATCTATTGTTGTGTGATTATCATCTCCATTTTGCAAGTAGGAGGAAAAAGTTCAAGAGAGTTTTTGGCGTATGGGAGAGAAATAAATCTGAATTTTTGTCTGCTCTACAAAAGTAACCCAGGACAACAAAAATAATAAGCAGTCGATTTCAATTCAGTGAGGCACAAACACCTACGTTACCATGACCCTAAGACGAGCCGGTACTGGGGTTGAATAATAATTTTGGCTGAGTTTCCTGGCCGCTAAGATGCATTGGATTGAATCAGTCTGTCAAGTTGAGGCTCTTAAAAAAATAAAAAAGACTCTTTCAAGTCTGGAGACACAAATGCTGACCTGGACTGCACAGAGGCCTGTGAGGGAACCGAACAGGAGCAGGGCAGCTTCCTTCCCCTCCCCACGGAGCGGGAAGGCAGCCTGTGAACTCACCGGTGTTTCCGGGAGGAGCCCAGCGGGTGAGGCCTCTGCTTGCCGCTGGGTAGTCACTATTCCTTTGCTTGTGGTCACATCCGGGTCATGCCCGTCTTGGCCTCCACCTTGCTGGTCCTTGCTGTGTGTCTGTCCACTCTCCCTCTGCTTTGTTCTCATCAGACAGACAGTGCCATGCAGGAGCCCACTCCCACCCCGTAACCCAGGGAAGTCTCCCATCTCAAGAGCCTCCAGTTAATCACATCTGCAAAGGCTTCACTGAGTGTGACGACGCCCAGGTTCCGGGATGGACCAGAGCGTGGCGTCTTCGGGGTGGATCTCGCAGCTCACCGCACGATCCAGGTGACCTGAGCAAGTGTCTTCATCTCACTGCACCTCGGGCTGTAGAAGAATAGTGCCTGCGCCTGTGGGTTATCATGAAGATTAAATATCATGAAGACTAAATGATGCAAGTGCAGGGAAGGGGTGTGCTGGAGAGTCTGGACCAGGACTAAAATCCCGCAGCGCAGAGCCCGTCTGCCCGCCGAGCACCCTCCATGGTGACCCGCACGCAGTCGCCCCCGGTTAGTGTTTAGCGCCTGCAGCCGTGGCATGGCCCTGTGGCCTTAGCCAGCTTCTTTTTCCTCTCTGGTCCTCGGTTTCCCTGTCCATCCACCAGGGCCAGCAGCGGCGGGGTCTGTGGCGGAGGCAGCGTGGAGGACTCTGGGGTTGGGAGCTGGCTGAGACTGCTCTGTCTCTGAGTCATCTGATTTCCCGGCTGGAGCCCAAGGGTCTGAGTGTGCCCGCCGGAGATAAGGTGGGAAGCACAGACTGGGCCAAGGCAGCGGCAGCCAAGGCTCCAGGCAGCCTCCCTGGGCCTTCTCAGCATGGTGAGTTAGTGCTGAGCATCTGCCAGAACACGGGCTGCTGACCCACGACCAAACGGGCGACCCCATGCCTGACTCGGGCAGCCACAGCCAGTTCTTGCTGTTGGGGTTCACTGAGCTATATCTGGCCAAATCCTTGTAGCTTGGGCCCAAATAGCTCCTTGTAGCCAAGGCCCAAATAGACAGAAGAGTACATCCAAGGTTATATTGTGAGGCTGCTATCCAAAGAAGCTACACCTGGGGGCACCAACTCCCAGACCAGCACCTGCAGGAGCAACTAGGATAAGGGAGAAGGGAGCTTCCAGGGTTTCACAGGCAGGAAGTTCAGCATATGCAAATGCCCCGGGGCTACCTGATTCCCTCGAAAGCTACAGTGAGTGAAGAAAGGGATACACGCCCAGGACTTGAGACTTATTCCTAGGGAAAGGAGCCACTGATGATTTTAGGAAGATGAGCAAGAGAATCTGAGAATCTCTCCAAGTGTGCTGTACAGGCCATCAGCACTGGAATCACAGTGAAGACAGGGGAAAGGTGTCAGCATGCAGGCTCCTGGGGTCCACGGCTCTCACAGGCCTCCCCAGAGGATTCTGAAGCACCCCAGGTTTTAGTGAGGACAGATTCCATGCTCGAGTTCCAGTGAAAAGTTCTGGTCTCAGATAAACTAGCTCTGCTGCAGACCTGCCGTGTGGCTTTAGGCCTCGCCATAGCATTTATCTCCTAGGGCGGCTTTAAGGATAAAGATAACACAGGTAAACCACACAGCACAGACCCGAGCACCTCCTCCGTGGCACAGCGGGGCCAGGGCTGAAGGCCAGCAAGTGTGGGGACAGGGAGGCAGGACGGGCAGCCCTGGGACTCCAAGGCAAGGCCTACAGTCAGGAGTGGATGTGGCCACAGCAGGGCGGCCTCTTTGCCAAGGCCATCGTGGACTGGGTGCTCAGTGTGGGTGCTGCATGGCCGTCACCCCCCAGCAACCCTGTGGCTTGGGTGTCACTTTTCTCCTAGTTTCCTTTCTCAACCTCCAGCCTGTGGCGTCTGCCCAGGGTGACTCCTTGTTGGGGGCCCCGTGGGCTCACAGGGTGCTCAGCGCCACTCCCAGCCCCTCCCAGCAGGTGCAGATGGCAGCCTCCTCCAAACTGGGACAGCCGGAAGCATCTGCAGACACTGCCAGGGTTTCCGGGGCTCAAGGTCACCCTGGATGGGCCCCCGCGCTTTCTTCAGGTTTTCACAGGGAAGATTTGGAAGGTCAGGCAGCAAAGCACCCAGCCCGTGGTCAGCCAGGTAAAAGGGGAAAGATTCCAAGTCGGTTGAGATGCAGCTCAGAGACAGGGCACCTGCCTGGGTTCCATCCCTAGCATGAGAGAGAGAGAGGAGAAAGGAGAAAAGAAAAGAAAAGAAAAGAAAAGAAAAGAAAAGAAAAGAAAAGAAAAGGATGGGGATTTAGCTCAGCAGCATAAGCGCCTGCCTGGCAAGTGTGAGGTCATGAGTTCGATTCCCAGTACCAAGGGAAAAAAGAAAAACCTGAAGCCTGACTCAGGCCTGGGCCGACCTCTGTCTTGGAGAAGGCTGCATCTCTCCAGTGCCAGCCCCACCTGGCCACACGGAGGGCCTGGGGACAGCAGTCTGGCCTGAAGGGGCAGCTGGACACACCTGCTAACAGGGGGCTGGGCTAACTTAGAGCGTGTTTAATGGGTGGTTTGGGGGTGCTGGTGGTGGTCAGGGGAGCCAGGGTCCCTCACCCAACGCCCCAGATGGTGGGGCAGAGAGACACGGGACACTGAGGGTAGGCAGGGAGGCACCCAAGGGAGTTGCTTCCAGGAGCCTCCCAGAAACACCTTCCAGAACCTTCCAGAACCTTCCAGAACCTTCAAGCTAAATATTTATGCCTTTTCCTTCCTGTGTGGGCTGATGGAGGCTTAGAGATTGACCCAAAAAATCTGGGGAGACAGAATCCATGGAAACAGTAAAAGCCAAAGGTCAGAGGCAGGAGAAAGTGGATTCTGCAAGTCACAGGTCCACCCTTCAGTCTCTCCAGAGCCTCCCAGGGTGAGATCCATCCACAGCCAGCTCCCTGGGGGACGTGGAATCCAAAATGTGGTTTTTGTTGTCTTAAGAAACATTCAGAAATAGAATTACACGTTTCTTTTGCCCAGTCTTAATCTCTCTAACCAAGAGAGTTGGAGGTGAACGACAGTCCAAAACATCTTGCCTCCAAAAGAAACTATTTTTCTAGATCCAAAGACACCTTGTGTTTGCAGTCGGTGTCTGAGGGTGGCCTGACAGGGCCAGGAGGAAGGTGGATCCCCAGCAGGCGGCCGGCCGGGAGCTGTAATCACAGCTGAGGCTCTGACAGCTCAGCGGCCTGGGCTGTGCTGTGTCAGAGGGGACAGCTCCCCGATGGGCGCTTCCCCGGCAACCACGGGAAAACAGCGCTTCGTACTGCCCGGCTGCTTCCAGAACCTTCCAGAACCTTCCAGAACCTTCAAGCTAAATATTTATGACTTTTCCTTCCTGTGTGGGCTGATGGAGGCTTAGAGATTGACCCAAAAAATCTGGGGAGACAGAATCCACCTCCCTAGACGGTGGCCCCACGTCACCTCTGATCTCCAGGTCATGATGACTCCAGAGCTTGCGGATCTTGGTGGGAGGATGACGGGCAGCATTTTCATGTTTTTGGCAGGAATTGTGCTCATTTATCTTTTAAAAAGTGCCTGTTAGCCTTCACATGAATTGTAAGTGACATCACCGAGGCCGCGTGTGTGCGAGGTTGCACGCACACACCAGTGTTTGCATTTTCTCCTCTTCTTTGTCCTTCCACGGTCGTGGAAAGTGTTGAAAGGTGTTTGAGAGGGATGTGGAACAGCAGCTCTGACAGCTCTGGTGCCTTGTAGGATAAAAACGTCTCTGGATGTTTAAACGGAAACTAGTGCTTGCCAGGTGGAGTGGCACAAGCCTGTAACCCCAGCACCCAGGAGGCTGAGGCAGGAGGATTGCTGCGAGTTCAAGGCCAGTTTGGACTACAAAGTGAGTTCAAGGCCAGCCTGAACTGCATAGGGACCCTGTGTACAAAGAGAAAGAAAGAAAGAAAGAAAGAAAGAAAGAAAGAAAGAAAGAACAAAGCGGTTCTGCACTGCCCTGTCCAGCTGTATTTCTGTTTATAGTTGACACACAGTAGTATTTGAGTGGATTCAGGGGCACAGTGTGACATTTCAGTGCAGGTGTATAAAGGCGAATCCATCACCTCAGACCCCCACCATGCCTGTGTGCTGGAATGTTCAAAATCCTCTCCACTGCTGTAATGAATATCCGATCAATTGTTAACCACGGTAAACCGTGTGATGCTTCGGAATACTGCAAGTTGCTCTTCCCGCCCCGCTGCGCCCTGCACCTTTGCCTCTCTCCATTCCCCCCTCCCCACCCCTCCTGGTCTCTGGTAACCACTAATCTCATTCTGAAGAGTCAGCAACTTAGAAAAAATTATAAGCATGGTTCCCATTAGCCGAGATGTGCAACCAACCTAGGAATCTATCTAGATGCAAGGGGAGGAAAATGTGATCTCTGCACACAATGGAATACTTTGAGTCATAAGATGAATGCGTCTGACTCATGAGAAGTGAAAGTCCAAAAATATTTACTGACACAATGTCCATTGCCATTACAAACTGCAAACTGTGTACCAGTCCCGAGAGACTGGCTACAAAAGCTGTGTTCCTTTATACTGTGGGATGCCGCGCTGCTGTTGAAAAGAACGAGGAGGTTGGTTATGGCAAACTGCAAAACGCCAGAATTTATTACCATGAGGGAAAAGCAGCTGGGCGTGCTGGCTCACACCCGTAATCCAGCACTTGGGAGGCTGAGGCAGGAGGATTGCTGTAAATTCGAGGCAAATCTGGGCTACATGGGAAGTTTAAGGGCAGCCTGCACTACATAGTGAGATCCTGTATTACAGGAGAGAGAGAGAGAGAGAGAGAGAGAGAGAGAGAGAGAGAGAGAGAGAGAGAGAGAGAGAGAGAGAGAGAGAGAGAGAGAGAAGCAAGCCTGTGATGATGCGTGTAATACAATTGCATTTACACTTCTACAAGTTCATATAAATGTGTATGGGTGCAAAGAATAAGGCAGAGTTTCCTTTTTAAAAATCCATTTGATTTCAAAGAGAGAAAAGAAAAAAACAATAAAATAAATTTCAATGCACATCAATTGGGGGGCAACAATGGTACATACATTGTGCATTGTCATCCCCAAATCATTCACCCAGAACAACACAAGACATCTGCATTTAACTCTCTGTACAGTACCAGCACAAACCTTTCTCTTTAGTGACCCAGAGAAATCAGTAGTGTAACAAACTATCTTAACTATTTTTTATATATATATATATATATATATATATACACATACATAAACATGTACATGTGTGGTTTCAGCTTCTCACACCAGTGAGACAGTTTAATGTTTCCGTATGTGTCTGATT